AGCGCCGCCGCGCTTCCCAAGCGGCGCACTATCCAGTGCGCCACCGGGCCGGCCCCTTCTTCCGAGCTTTTAATAGTTTCATGAAAGCTCCTTCAGGGTCTCTTATAGATGCCTCCTCACCTGTCAAAAGAGAAGAGACTGCTTTTGATAAGGAAGAAAGATGGAGCGGCTTTTTGTCAGGCCACAGCTATACATCCCAGTCAAATAAATTAGGAGTCAGCAAACATGAGTGCCCTTTAGAGAGGAGGAAAATAAACCAACACTTAAATCTATGAAATAGCAACAACAAAAGAAGAAAAAGACTTCATTTGAAAAAATGGCCATCTACTCAGAACATTCCGTTTAGATTATTCCATTGGTCCCCAATGGCCAATTGCCCAGTACTCATGCCCAAGGCTGGAAGACAAATATTCTCCAGTCAGCTGGCTTCTCTGCAGATCTTCCATGCCTCCTCACATTCAAGTGCCCCATACTGTCCTGCCTCATGTGCAGAGTGAGTGCAAGTCTTCCTCTGTCCCCCTCTTTAGGGTGCTTTTGTTCTCACTACCATCACAGGTGACCATGATGAAAGACAGTCGTCTGAGGGGAAAAAGGGCAGAGACGCTAAAGCAGAAACCCCATTCCTCCTACTAACAAGCCCTCATCTGCACATCCTTCTCCACCTACCCACCCAGTTCCTTCACTGGGTCCCTGTTCCTGTATAGCATAGCTCCCATAACAGAAGGCCCTACACAGGACAAAATACTATGTCTGTTCTGGTTCTTTCTTTAAATTTGGGCAGGGATCTGGGGTATAAGTTAGATTTCTAATTTGCCGGCTTGTATGTGGAATGTTCAATAAATGTGTGGAATAAAAGCTGTTCTTTCTTTAAATTTGGGCAGGGATCTGGGGTATAAGTTAGATTTCTAATTTGCCGGCTTGTATGTGGAATGTTCAATAAATGTGTGGAATAAAAGCTGTTTCTGGATAAATATTACTAGAGGTCCTAAAATGCAGAAGAAAAAAAGCAACTTTGTCAGAGGCATAGCACTTCACTTGCATTTCATTTCTACTATTTCCAGCTTTACTTGGGGAACCACCCAAAGCTTCTGACTGCATGAAGTCAAGTGTACCATTGTGGAGCTGGGTTTCTTTCCAGAATTAAAAGTAATTTTGGTGGTGGGGAGGGTCAGAAGAGGAAGGAAGGATCGTGAGAAAGGAGGAACATGGGTTTGTGGAAATTGGGGACAGAAGACCCAGGCACTAGGGTACAGCACTTAACACCTCTGATCTTGCTTTTTCTCATCTGTAAAAGGAGATTAAAAATGCTTGTTCTGCCAACTTGTAGGGAAGAAGGAAATAATTTAATTGGTGAAAAAAGCATTTTGAAAGATAAGCAACACTGTCTTTATATAATGTAGCAATATGTTATTATTTATTATTTGCCCCAGATCACTGGTAGATTCACTATGTTTCCATTTCATTCCCCAGATCACCTGTATTCAAGCTATCTGGACATAAAAGCTGTCACATTTGGGAAGTCATATAGTTAGTGCTGAAAACAGAAAAATACTTTAAAAGCACCTGAGTGTTCTGTGGATAGAAATACTTGAGATCCAGGGCAAGTCCAGAGTTGGACAATCATCTAAGAAGGGAAGAACCTTACATTCCATTAGAAGGGCCAGGTAGCAATTTCTACTTATGGAACCAGAAACTCTAACCTCCAAATTAAACAGCACCACTTGGGGTTTCTTGTAAAATTACAAAAACAAAGAGAAGAAAACCAGATCTACACCTGTCCCAAAAGGCAGAGGGCACTTGAGATCTGATGCATGTAAAACCAGTTTACAAACTGTGTTGCACTATATGAGTAAATTATTGCTGAGTGACTAACCACCGAGCAGAGAGCACAGTACACAGTGTGTGGCCATTAATGTTTTTTCCTTCTACTTCCATTCCTTTCTGCAGCAGAGAAATGGATCTTTTTCCACATGGAACAGTTACATTATTAAATTATGTAATATTAGCTGAAAACCTGACTTTCAGCAAGGAAGTAGTACAGAAATTTGGGGATTATGAACTAATGAATAAAATAAAGCAATTATAATCATTAGTGTAAAAATTTATCACCACCAATTAAAAGTTAAAAAACAAATAAGAATAAAAAATGTATCATCAGGTAATTCAGACGCACGACAATTTGTGGTGCTTGTCAGACATGTGCTGTCACAATGCAGCTTGACTGTCTTGCAGACAACCTCAATATTATTTTTAAATTGGCAGAGGCAGCAGGCCAAATGGCAAGGTAAGATCCTATAAATGGAAACAGAGAATTAGATTAATGGTAAAGGGGTTACCTGAGTAGGTCGAAGAGGCAGGTGAAGGCTGTCACAGGGCTGTTCAAAAAGAAGTTCATGAGGTGTGTGGCCTGGACAGTTGAGTAGGAACCAGATGGCCAATTGCTGCTGTTGAATATTGTAAATAGGAAGGAAGACAAGAGGTGCCCAGCAGAAAGGTAAGTATGACAGTGGACATAGAACACTGAGAATACAGGTGATAGGGATCAGAATTAGGTGACACTGATGTAAAGTTTAATTCAGAAGTATCTCCTCCCATCTCAGAAGTCTCACTTTGGGATGAGAGTGCAAAGGGAGAAGGCAGACTTCTAAGAAGAGTCTGGATAAGCCCCTATTCTAGAGTCCCTTTCTCAATTCTTGTTGGCTCTGGTAAGTATTAGAAATTACTCTGGACATAAAAAAACAGCTTAGGGGGCCGGCCTGTGGCTCACTTGGGAGAGTGCGGTGCTGATAACACCAAGGCCACAGGTTCGGATCCCACATAGGGATGGCCGGTTTGCTCATTGGGTGAGTGTGGTGCTGATAACACCAAGTCAAGGGTTAAGATCCCCTTACCAGTCATCTTTAAAAAAAAAAAAAACAGCTTAGTTTAAACCTGCATTATGTGGTTAAACAATAACAGAGATCACGTTGGCCAAATCTGGCCAATTTGAGCATTCAAAAGCATAACGATGACAATAAGGTACAAAATAATGTGAAGAATACATTAGTTCATAATGATAATCAAAGATAACAGAGTGGGGAGCTCTTCTTTAACAGAATAGTGCCAGCTAGTAAATGTAAAAGGAATGATAGAATTAGAAAAGTGCCATTTTGCAACCACCAATATAATAATTCATTCACACAAGGATTATCATTGATGCACAGTTGGGTGAAAAGGTGTTTGACAGTAGGATCTTAACTGTTCTCAAAGTGTCACCCCACAAACTATTTATTAATTCTCGAGGGGGGAAAATAACTTTACAGTGGAGAGATCTGTAAGATACCACCTTAATCAAGTGATCAAACAGCATTATAGGCCACTTAAAGTCATGAATTAGGAAGGATACATTGCCTATGTAGTATTCTTACCAAAAATATTTAACCTTAATCTAATCAGGAGGAAACAGACAAATCCAGGTTGTGGGACAACTTACAAGACAACTGTCTTAGACTCTTCAAAAGTGACACTGTCATAAAATACCAAAAAGGAGTAGGGAAATGCCTAAGGAAACAAAGACATAACATGCAATACCTGATCTTTGATTGGATCCTGGATCAAACAAAACAGATTTACAGAACATTATTCATTTCTGACCAAGATTGAGTAACAGGGACCAATTTAACCTCCCACCTGAAAGAACTGAAAAACTAGACAAAATATACAAAACAACAGTTCCCAAGACATTGGACATCAGGCAATGACAGACAGTGATCTCCAACAGACAGGAAATAAATGAAGTAAGCCCTGTGACTGCCCAGCTTACTGCCTTGAGAGAGTTTCCAGGCTATGGTGCAAGGGTGGGGGAGACACAGGCAGAGACTTGCGGACTCCTTGATTAAGGAGATGGAGCTGAGAATCCAGGAAAACTGAGGTGACTAGAATTCACAAAGTAGAGTACTAGACAGAAAAGAAGTGCACAGAGAAAGAATTCCGGAGTTATGCAGAGGGATCTCTCGAGTGTTCAGCAAAGTACTGATCAGTGCATGTGTATGAGGAAACTACTTAAGGCCAGGAAAAGAACCACTTGAAAGTGTTAGACAGGCATGGTGCTGATAACACCAAGGTCAAGGGTTCAGATCACTGTACTGGCCAACCATAAAAAGAAAACAAAGCAGCAACAACAAAAGTATTAGAAGAATAATTGAATTATACACAGGCTTAGGAAGAGTGCCTATTCCCATGACAGGCTGGAAAACCTCATGAGTCAAGGGGCATTGGGTACTCAGAAAGATCTTGCCTTAACATTTGTGAATATTGAGCTCTACACTACAGTCTACTATGTGGTCCATCCAGAGAGAGAGAGAGAGTATGTTAACAGTAAAATGCACACGGAGGATACAAGGGTGTCCATTGTACTTACTCTTTCATCTTTCTTGTAGGTTTAAATTTTTTCAAAAGAAAAATTTGAGCAAAAAAGATATCCAAACTATTTTTTTTTCGTTAAATTTTTATTTTGTCAATATGCAATCGACACTTCCCTCCCTCCTCCCTCTCTCCCCTCCCCCCAAGAATGTCCTTTCCGTTTGCTTG